CCTGCTTGGGGCAGACACGCTAAACAGGCTTACAACCGTACAAATGAAGCTTGTAAGTTGCAATAGTGGAATTTTTTACTTTCTGCAATACTAATCATACTTTCTGCAATGACGTTCAAACTATGTTGTCCCATCTATATTTGCAGTTACATTGTTTTAAGCATCACTTGAGGGAGATCCACTGCTAAAAGACCTTGTCAGTGACAGCCCAGGGTCTCAGCACCCTTCTCACGCTGCTATTTATCCTAGCAGTTGAGAACAGATGGAATGCCCTTGCTGTAAGCTTAATGGATAAAATGCCAGGCCTTTGGAACTCAACCCTACTGGTGACGCACCAGAGCTTGAGTTTGACCAGAGATTAAGGATATGATGCAACACCCTTGATTTTGTTTAGCTTTGTTTATTTTATATATATATTTTGTTTTATTTTGGCTTTGGCTATTCATCGAAGATACCTTAACATCTGGACTACACAGGAAATGAAAGTGGTAATCATGACAGGGGTATTAGAGCATCATCACTTCTTGAAGGTTATAGTGGATCACAAACTAAATGTAATACAGTTGCAAAAAAAGTGAACATCATTCTGAAACGTATTAGCAGGAGTGTTGTAATCAAGATATGAGACATAATTCTTCCACTCTACTCAGCACTGATAAGACCTCATCTGGAGTACTGTATCCAGTTCTGGGAACCACAGTTTGGGATGTGGACAAATTGGAGAAAGAGCAACAAAAATGATTAAAGTTCTAGAAAGCATGACCTATGAGTAAGGCCCTACCAAATTCACGGCCGTGGAAAAAAACGCGTCACGGACCGTGAAATCTGGTCTCCCCCATGAAATCTTGTTTTGTGTACTTTTACCCTATACTATACAGATTTCACGGAGGAGACCAGTGTTTCTCAAACTGGGGATCCCGACCCTAAAGGGGGTCGCAGGGAGCCGCAAAGTTATCGTAGGAAGGTCATGGTATTGGCAACCTTATTTTGACACTGACTTCAGAGTTGGGTGGTCGGAGAGCGGCAGCTGCTGGCTAGATGCCTAGCTCTGAAGGCAGCACCCTGCCAGCAGCAGCGCAGAAGTAATGGTATGGGTATTGCCATCCTTACTTCGGCACTGCTGCTGGTGGCAGCACTGTCTTCAGAGCTGCGCTCCCAGCCAGCAGTTGCTGCTCTCCGGCTTCCCAGCTCTGAAGGGAGAAGAGCCACCACCAGCAGCGCAGAAGTAAGGGTGGCAATACTGTGACGCCCTACAATAACCTTGTAACCCCCCCCACACCCTTTTGGGTCAGGACCCCTATAATTACAACACTGTGAAATTTCAGATTTAAATATCTGAAATCATGAAGTTTATTATTTTAAAAATCCTATGACTGTGAATTTGGTAGGGCCCTACCTAGGAGGAAAGATTGAAAAAAAAACGGATTTGTTTAGTTTGGAGAAGAGAAGATGACAGTCTTCAAGTACGTACAAGGACATTATAAAGAGGAGGGCGATAAATTGTTCTCCTTAGCCACTGAGGACAAGACAAGAAGTAATGGGGCTTAAATTGCAACAAGGGAGATTTAGGTTAGAAATTAGGAAAAAGTTCCTAACTGCAAGGGTAGTTAAGCACTGGAACAAATTACCTAAGGAGATTGCAGAATCTCCATCATTGGAGGTTTTTAAGAACAGGTTAGAAAAACACCTGTCAAGGATGGTCCAGATAATAATTAGTCCTGCCTCGAGTGCAGGGAACTGGACTAGACAACCCAATAAGGTCCCTTCCAGTCCTACATTTCTATGATAAAAGAAATTCCATCCTCAGGCTGCAGTGTAGTTATAAAGCACTTTTAATTTTCTTCTTTTGGATTATCATCGAAGTGCCTTACTGACATTACAGCCATATGTATGTATGTACATGTAATGTTACATTTTTCCTACTAGATATTGTCATATGTGCAACTGATCTACTGAGAAAGATGTGTCAGATGTAGGGAATGTGGTTGTGACAAAGCGAGGGATTTTCTTATTTTTTCAATGGTTTGCATGCAGAGTGTGGGAGACTTGGTTTCCCTGTGTTTTGCTTATTTAACGAGGTGGTGGGAGAGGGGGGTTGTTGCTGCAGAGGACTAGCGGTGATCTCGCCTAGCAGTTGGGACCCTGGATAACAGCCTGGAGATTGGGTACCCTAGTGACTAGTCACCAGGAGGCCCACCCCAGCTTGGAAGTCAGCTGGTTCAGGTCAGTGGGAGGACAATGGGCTGAGGAGAGAGGACCCCGTGACCTGACCAGACGGTTCCAGCCAGTGGGGAAACAAAGGATGGAAGAGAGAGGGCCCAGGTGGCCTGTTTATCTGGGACTGAAGACAAAGGACAGAGGAGGGGCTGTTGGGGGAGGTGATATAGGATGGTCAGCTGGAAGAAGGGGGCTTCTGGACTGCGGAGAGAGAGCAACCAGAGCTCACCTGGATGGGGAAAAAGACCTAGATGAACTGTGTTGAGGGCTGCTAGGCCCGAGGGCCCTGAGAACTTCCTGTGTTGTGTTCAGATGTTCAATAAACCCCTCTGTTTTACGCTGGCTGAGAGTCACTGCAGCTTAGAGATCGGGGTTGCATTATTTCCTCTGGGTATGAAGGTCTCGGGGGTCCAGAGCGAGGGGACTCCCTGAGGGGGCCCACGGCAAGAGCATGCTGAAGGTTCAGGGAAGTGCAGATCCAGGAGGCGCTGAAACACAGGGCTTAACCCCCAGAGAGAATGTGAACCCTCGAGAAGGGCTGTCACACTGAAGGGGGTTCCTCCCAGGGATCGTACGGAGCCGAGAGAGAGCATGAGTCCTGGGAGTCTATGACAGTAGTTATGACAAAATTGGGGGGCGAGGGGGAGGAAATAAGAGTTCAACTCATATTGCACAGTATGGTTTAATGAGCTCTGATAAGGAGATGTCTACACATGCAGCAAATATGAAACTTTTCCAGGGGGGAAAAGTACCAGTTTCTGCAATGTAATTTAACTATATAATTATGCATAGATACAGTGTAGTTTCATTATGCTTAGCACTAGTTTTTGAAAAAATGAACAGAAAATTAAGTATCTGAAAGTCTCTGAAAAGTGATTTGCTGCTAAATAAGGGATTTAATCCTAATTTACAACTGAGTTAATGTAAAATTTAATAAAAATGAATTTATGCCAACAACCAAAATCAAGTTATTTACATAGCAACCTAATCATCAAACATTCACTTGAAACCCCTCCTCGTTTATAAACATGAACTATTAAAGGCCTGTCATTTTTATTCAGGTGTGTGTTTTTCTGAATGGTTTCTACATTCACTCCATTACAAACAAATCTAATCAGACTGTAATTAAGTCTACAGACACAGTAGTTGAAAAGATTCATAGTATTACAAAAATTAATCTCAAGCCCTGTATGAGCACAGAAGAAAAAAATTCCAGTAAGATCGACAAATAAATTGTAAATAAACAACAGTATTTGGTTAGACCTATTACCACAGTACTGGACAAAATGAACATTTAACCATCTTATTTACTATTTAAAGGGCTGCCAGATTAATACTGTATTTACAGAATTAATCAGAGATTGCATTATCAAATTTGAAAGTATTGTACATAATACCAAAAAATCCACAAAATGTACAAATTGAACTTGACCCCTTTGTACAAGATACATGTAACTATAATACAAATTACTACTCCAGTGTTAAACCTTTAGATTAGGGAACAGTGCTACAATAATTCTATGAAATGCAATTCATAAGATAATTATTAAATCTAGGAAAAACAGGAACATGAGTATTTAGGCAGCATCCAGTGACTTTTAATCCATATACTGAAAACTGAACTATTGTATTTAAGTTTCTATACATAAAATGGCACATGCTGCACAACAAGTTACACATTTGTCCAACTAAATAACCACATCTGCCAAACTGGAGAAAAAAAAACTTAACACTAAAGTTTATAATCTAGAACTATGTTTATTATTTTTGAAAATGAGATTCAGATAAAAATGATTACGGGTACTGTAATGTATTTACAGATAATCTGAATAGTTACCAGTTGACATAGATAAAGAAAGAATGACCCATATTTATATTATGGAAACTATGGGAAATAAAGTTTTAAAAAGATGTTCAAAAGCTTTAGATGTCTCAATACTGAAGTTACTATTACACATTTTCAATTCAGATGATAAAAAATTTCAAGTATTTCTTTTTATTCCCAAGAAGTTAAGATGCTTTTTTGTACGCCTGAAGGTAAATATAATATGAACTATCTATTATGGGATTTTTTTTAAATTAAGATTTAAAAGTGGTAAGAAAGCCAATGAAAAACATGCTTTTGCTATGACACATTCCCACCAGAAGGCCTGGAAGTCTTACAAAACTTATGCTATTGTATATTGTAAGCATAAGTATCAGGTTGCATCTAAAGTAACGGACCACACATTGCAAAATTTATAAGAGAAGGTTGCCAAAATTCTAATCTGCTACTGATTAGGAGAAGAATGCTATGCATTTGTTCCTAGTTGTAATCTAACCCTCATGCATATTCAAAAGCCGAGTATAGGTACAAAGTAACACTAACTTCGCATCGTTCTTTAGACTATTTCTTAGGCACTGTAGAACCCAGTAAAGTCAATTTTAGGAAGCAGTGGTAAATTCTGTGTGATTTCACTAAAAAAGGCAAATGTATAGCTTTCAAAAATACCACTTTCATTACAAAAATAGAGTTCTTACTGCTTCTTGACCACAAAATAAACACCAAAAAGATAGTTTCATAATTCTGTATTGTTTAATATTTGTAACCATGAATTTCTTTCACGTACAGATTTCCTTATGGCTCACTAATATTCCCACTTTAAAATGTACGAGAGATTTTTGCTTTGTAGTTTACATTTATATGGCTTTCCTACAAGAGCAGGGAAGACCATACTGATGCCTATTGTGCAGAAATAACCCTGAAGGCAGTATCATAGCAGTGTGCAGTAGAAAACCCTTACCAATTTTTCATCAACTGTGATGAGTTGCGTGTCTTGAGCTTGGTCCTGTGCCAGCCGCCATGTGGAAGTGCTCAGTGACCTGCAGTGCAAGACTTGAAGTTAAAAAATGATTCATGCAATGAGAAAATAGAGGCAGACAAATCTTACATAAACAAGTTACTTTATCAATATCCATCTTGTAAAAAAAATGGAAGAGGGAGAGATGAGGGCACAAAAATCCTTTTTCTCCCCAATTAGTTCTGTCTGCTGAGTTTTTGGCAGACTCCCACTTAGCAGTTCACAACAGGCTGCACTTTATGTCAGCCTACAGGCTCTCTGTCACAGAGAGACTGCCAGTGGCAAGGACTGTACTGCTCTATATGAATGTACAGTAGTTGGTTTGTCACGAACAGACAAAAACACAAAGCTGCTGCAAGTATTCAGGAACTCTGATCCTAAATGATGGCATCAGAGGAAAACAATCTTAATTCTATCCCAATGGTGTAAGCTAGTTGTACCGTTTAATAACAGGATATTAAACAAACTCACTCCTCTTAACTGATAATTCAGATACAAATTCTGTCTATACGACTAGGTACAGCTCATTTTGATTCATTTCTACCTCAATTGTTGATCTTTTTAATAACTTCCAAACATTTTGGTTAACCTTTTAGCATAATTAGTAAAACCTATAACATTAAGTATGGGCACAACTATGAAGCCAATCCTGCTCTCAGTTAATTCAGTGATGGTTTTGCCATTAATTTTTATGGAGTCACTAGGAGCAGGATTGGGCCCCACAAAAGCAGTTGGTCCCTTGGCAAAACAGTACAACAGCAAGTGAAAGAGCAGTTTTCTCTGATAACTCTGTGTGCTTCATGTTTAATTCAGGTTGCTTTAAACAAATGATGCATTAAAGTGAGAGAATATATAAAGTACAAAAAAGAGTGGACCAGGCTACTGTAGTTTTCGATTGTCCTTCAGAGGTTACATAATTCAGAAAGTTAGACATACATCATAATGCAAATGAAATTTATGAGATTTTTGTTTATGAGGTGTCATGGCTGACTTGCTGGTGATTTATTGGCATATCTTTTATCGCTACATTATACAATTTTTGAAAGCCAACCATGCAACATGAGTACATTCTGAAATCCAAATTTTTCAGGAACAGAATGACAGTATGTTCAGATTTTTTTTTTAAATACTATCTAAGCCAAAAATAGAAGCCAACAACTATGTACATTTGTTTAGTAGGCTACAATACGAAATACAGTTTAAGAACTATGAGTTTGCATACAAGCATTCAAGAACAAATTTGAAAAGCATGTCATAAATTATGTACAGTGCTTTGAAGGTATAGAGTCCAAATGGCTATTATAAATTCATCTATTCCCAAAACTTAGTAATAAACCAGCTTTACTGCATTTTCCAACATCAACTAAATTAATTCCCCCATTTTAGAGAAAACAGTCCAATTAACATTTAAAGTGACTGAAAAAGTTATTTTAACAATGATGACAAAGTTCTAGCTATTATTGCTTGGAAGAGTTTGAGATCACTGAGCACAGGTCAAGCCACAACTATTTTATGCAAAGTTATAATTGGAATTAGTAGGATCCAACTCCATTTGTCCAGGAAAACAACAACATTCCAAGAGGTTATGTTACTATTATTTCAAGCTCAACGCAATTCTACTTCAGTTGTGTATTCCCATTGGTCTATGTTATTTAATGTGCATTAATGCAGCTCATATTTAACTATATTAAATTTGATTTGCCAAAAAAGCAGTTTGCCATCAATTACAAAACAAATTCCTTCTTTTATTATTTTTACTTTTTCATGATAATGCAGCCTTCTTAAGTACAAAAATTCTTGCATCATCCCACTTGAACACGTGAACTCATCATTCTTGCTTGACTGACAGATTTCCTCTGTGGCAGCACTGGAATAATAGAAACCAATTGTTCTGGGTGACTTCAGCATAAATGCAGATGACGAACCTTCTTAATTAGCTTAAGGTCTCTTGGCTATAGTGACAACTGTGTGTCTGTCTCAGGTAGCTTCTGGCTCAATTCTAGCAGGTGGCTGAACTCTGGATCTTGTTTTTGGGACTGACATTGGAGGTGGAGGGGTGAGAGAAAGGGGATATGCCTTTGTAGACTGACCATTATCCACCTCTGTTTTGTTGGTTGAAGCACTCACTTCTGTCAAGCTTTCTTGATGGTCTGATCTTGCAGGCTTACTGGACTGCCTTTCGTAATGTGCCTGTACAGTGCCTAGCCAAATGATGTTCTGATCTATGACTGGGGCTCCTAGATACTACTGCAGTACGAATAATAAGTTATAATCTACTGTTTCAGAGGGCTCAAAGGAAATTGGCAGGGCTCTGGGAGTATGGGTGAAGGAGTTTGGAGCGCAGGTGGTATTCTCTTCAATTCTTCCTGTCAAAGGTAGGGGCCCGGGCAGAGACAGATGCATCATGGAGGTGAATGCCTGGCTGCGAAAATGGTGTCGCCAGGAGGGCTTTGGCTTCCTAGACCACGGGATGCTATTCGAGGAAGGACTGCTAGGCAGAGATGGCGTTCACCTTTCGAGGAGAGGAAAGACCCTATTTGGACACAGACTGGCTAACCTAGTGAGGAGGGCTTTAAACTAGGTTCGACAGGGACAGATGAGCAAAGCCCAC